ACTTTGAAGTCACCACAAGCTACAGACAGTTTTGGCTGTGCCTCTGTATGGTTATCCAAATAGAAGCTCCTATCCTACGTAGAAACTTTCGTCGCTCCGGAGAGGAGTGCGGCGGGCCCACCATCCTTCCCTCTCCGGCCCTCAAGTTGACCCGATTATCTGTAGCGGTTTTCCAAATCAAAGCCGGTTTTACAATCAAAAATTTGCAGCTGCTGAAAACCTGCGAAGGGCCCAGGTATGACCGACTGTTGCAAAATAGAAAAACAATTTATTGTTGTTTGCTTTAAGATTGGCCTTCGTTAATTGAAAATATACGTATTGTCCTTCAGCAGTATTCTCCTTCTCATAGTCTTCACCGCATCAGCAACGAACAATCAGCGCTTGGCTCCCAATCTTTTCCTAAACTTTCCTAAACGGCATCGAGAACATCATCGACTCTGTGTCCCGGGCATTTGCGGGGTTCAAAAGGCTCGCAGGTAAGCGTGGCTGACGCGAGTTTATTAATAATGCCCTGTTTGCGCAGTAACAAGTAACCGGACCCGTTGAAACCCAGCTTTAATTATATAACAGCTTGCATGTCATAACGCATCTGGTTTATGCGTGGTTCCCAGCGCTTTCTGTTATGTCGTGCGCGTTAGGGCCCTAAGAATAAAAAACAATGCATGTCCTGATGTCCACATTGTCCACTTGCCTCTCACAACTTGACGACCCTATTTCTGGTCCTTTCCTTGGCCCTGGTCCTGCTGCCTATGCAGTGCTCCTCCGCCTCTCTGCATCTGGCAGAGCTCATTTCTGCTCATTACGGCCTCTTCACGTCACCGGGCGGGGAAAAGTTCTATGTCTTCCCAACGGCCGCCGCGGACTCCCGCTGGTCGTGACACGCTGAATTTGCGCCCATCACAAGAGACAACAAAGAAAGGTGTAATAACGGGAAAATAAATAGATATCAGGGGGCCCCGATCAAGCGGTCATACGGCATATAAGGCGCTTTGTGATACATAATATATGAATATCTATATCTACATATGATGTGTGAAACAGGGGGGTGTATCTTCGCCCGTGGCAGCTACCCTGCGAAACCCTGCCTTCCCCGGTATTTCGGGGCACCCTCATCCAGTCACCCTAGTCAACTTCTCAGTGGATCGCTCAGGTTCCGCACCCACCACCAGCATCCAACGGAATCTGCCGGGTCGACAGCGGCGCAACTCCATTCCTGGTCGGCTCGCAGGTTAACTTTATCCCAGGTCACCACCGTCCATCAACTAGGGGCGCAATGCCTTCCACCATCGGAAGGACTTTTGACCCTAAGGGGTATCGATCCCGGGATCTCCCGGGGGCAATGTCGCGCCTTACCA